TGAGGTGGGGGGGGGGGGGGGGGGGCACAATAGCGGCAGCTTAAAATGTATAACCTTTTTTAAATAGTGGAGTACAGCTTTTTATTGAAGAGTCAAAGCTGTAATATAATAATCAAAGCTGTATTTAAAAAAAAAATTATATTAAAGGTGAACTGACCACTAGAGTTTAAGGGCAAACAAAGGCAGAGAGCATACAAACAGCAAATACAAATCACTGGTACTGACTGCATTTTTGACTTTGAAATAAAAAGATCAGTGTTTCATTTTGTTCACAATTGTATGAAGGATGAAAAAGTTCACGCATGGTAGAAGATAGTGATACTACTGCTTTGCTCTAATTATTAATGCTCATTCATTAACATATAACTGACTTAACTATGGCAACCTGTATATTAATGAAGGCCTCAAGGTAACCCATTAGGAGGGAATTAGTTGATCTCAGTGTTAAATGTGAGTATAAATGGATGTTGGTATGGGCTTCAGGAATTTTGGATGTTGATGTTTATATAGGGCTGTGCAAACACTTTTACCAGCTATAAAGTATGTACTGGGAGGGGTCTGAGTTAATCTTAGGGGTTATGTTAAATGTGCTAGCAGAGCTCCTCATCTTTCCAGCAGAGCAGCTATAAGCAGCAATCTAAGGTTAGGTGTTTCTGCTCCGTGTTAGTTAAAATGTAAACACAAATTGATACACTGTAATTAGGTGCACCATTGAGCAGCATCAATGGTATTGTATCTATTTTTGCCTGTTTATGCCTGCAGCACATGGTGCTATTATTGATTTAAACTCAAAATATAAGTAACATGGAGCTCTACTCCTGTGGTCAGCCTTTTATTAGCAATAACTGGAGTCTTCCTTAGATTCAAGGTTAATAGGTGGTGCAAGGTTACCTATCTATTGTTTTGGATTGTTAGTCTATGCTGGTCCGGTAAAATAATTATTTTACTTTTAAAATGTTTTCCAAAACATTTTGCCTGTTTTTCTTTGGGTAAGAATTGATGTTTCAAAATTGTATATCTGTGCTAAATCCATTGGTGTTTATTCAGTACAGTGACTTCTTACTTTTTTGTATACTCTTTCTTTCTCATGTAAAAAAAAAAAAGTCTTCCATTAAAGTATATTTGCAGTCAAAACTTTTTTGTCATATTGGAAAGAGCATGTCAAGAATTTTGGCCATCAATGTCCCATTGCAGTGATTTCCCTTCACTTCCTTTTTCTGTAGACAAAAAAGAAGATGAGGAAAGTGCACTCTCACACAGCTGTAAACAGAACAAGAGTTATCACTGGAAGATTGATCCTTTGTTCCTGTTCTAGTGAAAATGCAAATTTTGGGATTTTCCCTCACTTTCAGACCCTGAGACAGTGGTCACAAGGGCAGACAGATAAGGTGAATGTCCCTCAGTGGGACACAAACAGCATTAAATATTCCTCACTACTGTATCCTAAAAAAAGTTTTGGATTTAAATACAAAAAAGTTTTGGTTTAAACACAGCACTTGGCTTAGACGATCTCCCCCCTGAGTGATACATAAAATTTGCATCATTATTCTGAATGTACTAGGTGGAACCTGATGGTCCAGAAGGCCTAAAGCTAAAAAAGGTCCATTAAACAATATGGGGTCTATTCACAAAGCTCCCGAGGGCAGCCGAGTGAATGACCGATCAGAAGTGAAGTGAGCCGAACACTGTTCGGCTATTCACTTCAGGCTGGTACGGCTGATTTCAGCCCTATATCGGCTGAAATCAGCCGTACATCGGCTTGCTTCGAGTGGCTTCGGATCAGCCGAACATGCTCAGCATGTTCGGCTGAAAACATTTAAAAGAAAACAATATCCACAGATATCCCTATGGAAAACATACTGCATAATCTTAGGAAGTTTACTGAATTTCAAATAGTCATTCAACAAGCAGTAAAACATAAATGCTTTCCTGCTTAAGGCTAAACTCACTTAGAAATTCATTGAATGTGTTAAGTGAGAGCATACCAGGAACTGAGCTCTATAGCAACAGAACCTGGAGCTTATAGGGCAACTTCAACCAAAATGCATATTACTAAGATGCTGGTTTACATTCAGACATGTTCTTGGTTAAAATGTGACTAAACCCAAAACCCAAAATATTATATATTGCAGCTTACCAAACTGTAAATAAGGTAGCTGCATTAGTTTTCTTTTTTTAACGTTTTTTCCCCTTAATTTTCAGCTGTTGATACAGCCAGTAACACATTTCCTGTGTTAGGATGGCTACATTCACCCCTCCACTGCAACTATGGAGAAGAAGAAACGTAGCCACCCGTGGACAGCAGCATTCTCATCCTGTGGAGAGGGTAGCGTAAGATAAACTAACAGATTGAGATAGACTTTACATACGTGGCTAAATCCAACTCACACCGTTTCAGCAGTTACAGCAGCAGTTTGTTCATTTTGGGATAAAGGTTTTAACTTTTTGAAGAACCTATTAAATAAACCCATGTCAATATTAAATGGCTTGTCTCAACCGTCCAACTGCCATTTTGCTGGACAGTTTGGTCTTTTAAAGAAAGTTGAAAAATTACAGAGTTTCTTAAAGAAGCGACAGGTGATAAAACTATTTCTGATTGTTTCAGAAAAACATTATATATATATATA